ACGTCGATGTGAAATGTATGCTCACGTGAAAAATTCACAAAAAAAAACAAAAAAAACAAACAAAATATGTGTGTATAATCTAATTATGCCATCAAAAATCGCGGCACACACACATGTATGTCAAAGACAAATATGTACAATAAATGAATGATAATAAAATGAATAAAAAAATATTTATTAAAACATCAAACGCACAATAATCTCATTATCTGCGTATGTGGGCGCCTGCATAACAGAAAATCCATGCAAAATGTTCGGTTGCATCTACCAATTATGGGACTGGTGAGTAATTTGCATCATAAAGTGAACCCTACATATATGTAAAATAATTATTAATTCATGGTATGCAAATAAATTAAGAAAGCACACAAAAAATATAACACACATTGGCGCTGAGTGTAAAGGGAAAAGGTAGAAATATTCACAAAATTGCACAAATTGCATTGCTTTCGTGTGGCGTGTAGTATATATATATATAATATATACGTATTTTTTTTGCAAATTTTGATGGTATGCATACCATAGGGGTTAGCCTAAGAAACATATATACACAGTTTTATGGCCGAAGGATAACCCGTGCCGACTTTTAGTTGAAGTTTTAGTTAATATGTGGCTTGAATTGAGGCTACCAAATCATCAATGAAAACTTTGCAAATGCGAATAATTCACTAGGTTTCCCATATCTGAAAGCATTTCTAGCAATGCTGCATCTTTATGTTTTTAATAGGACGTCAGGATATCGAAAAAATTAATTAATGGAAAACGTACTTTGTAAGGGTCTATTACAACGCTGCTAAATTATATGTTTTCTAGTAGAGTAATTTGAAAATTTTCAATTGGCGAAGGTTTTTTAATTGGTGTGACAGGGTGTATGATGAACATAAAATTATTAAATTCAATTTTTGTAACAAATTATTTTCTTCCTTTTAAAAAAATGCCTCTCATAATATTAAATACACAAAATATAATGCTTGTAATTTCGTCTGATATGCAAAAATTTAACTAAACATAATTTTCATATCGTACTGATTTACAAACATCTGCAAACATTTAATCAGAAAGGGAAAATAAAATAATAAAGCATATGATTTGGTTTATTTGATATTACGTATAGCATTTTTTTTAATGAATTTTATAGAAAAATTTAATTCAATCATTTAGTGTACATCATACGCCCTGTCAGAAAAATTAAATGATGTTCAAAAGCTACACATTTTTAGGACATGCACAAATTATTCTTTTTTTGCCATTGATAATATGTTTTTTTTTTTTTTTTAAATAAAGAATAAATGTCGAAGCATAAGCGAACAAATTTGAAACATGCTTTGAAATTTTTGTCCTTTAAAATCCTTATATGTATATATGTACATATGTAGGATTAAATTAAACTAAAATTCTTTAAAATGCATTCAGAATTAAAAACCTTGAAGGATAATATTTTTGAAGGACATTTATTACATGTTCGAAAAGGATAATTGAAAACATTGAATAATTAATCTTTTTTTTAAATTTTTCTTTCAATTGAGACCCATATATACATATTTGTTTAAAATTTTGGAAATATATTACATATAATTTATGGTCATTGAAAAAAACCCTGACTACTTGGTAAAAAAGACCAAAACGCAGATTTATTAAATCCTAGGCCCTAATAATGTAGGGAGTATAGTAATACCGTTTTATATAGAAGTAAAATGAACAAATTAACAAAATACGCGAAATATAATTTTGACTACAAGTCGGCACTAGTTGCTGTCGTCCGTATTGCATAAAATTTCATTCGGATAGTTTTTAAGACAAAACCAATAAAATAAAGAAGTATGCGCTAAAAAACCACTTTGGTTTTTTTTGGTACATTCTAATATCCACATACACAAAAATACATACATGTATAGTGCGCGCTTCCACTCCGTAGGGCCTGGGTTCAAGCCCTAGGCAAAACGGCATCGCAAAAAAATTTATAAAACAATGGTTTTTTCTTAACAGCGGTCGCCCTTCGCTAGGCAATGGCAAACCTCCGAGTGTATATCTGCCTTGAAAAACAGCTTCTCATTAAAATACAATCGCCGTTCGGAGTCGGCGTGAAACTGTAGGTCCCTCCCCCGTTTAGGTCCCACCCGCTTTAAGTGAAAAATCATTTTCAGTTCTTCTCGGCATACGCTGTTTGGAACTAATGATTCCTCGATACCTGAAGTTGCAACGCTTTTTTCCCGTAGCAAGTACTTTTTTTCGCTATGCTGTTTTTCGAATTTGTAACTTTATATCGATTTTTTCTTCAATATTTGCTACCCGTATATGCCACCGCTTTTGCGCTGTTTTCTTTCACACCGTAAGTAAAGGTGACAAATTTTCACTGTTGGGCCCTCTGGGAGATGTTTTAAGAAAACTATAAGTCCAGTTATGTATTCCTGATTCAAAAAAATCCCTTAAAGCATATTTATTATAAGAAAAATTTAAACGCATACTTTGCGAACTCGAAATTGATTTTAGACCCTTGGTTTCTTCGGCAAATTCGCTTAGAATTTCATGTAGAATAAACCTATGCTATACCTGCATAGTCGAAAAAAAGTCGACCAGCTCTAATGTGCATATGTATGTATTACCGACTTGAGACGCTAGACTAATTTTGAAAATGCTCGAACTGCATTCACATTTAATCACCAAAAGTCACGAAAAGTCCCACAAAAATGCCATTAAATAAACCTTTAGAGTCCAAAAAAAATTTTTAAAAGTTTAAATTTCCAAAAATTTTGAAACAACTCTGCAAAGGGAAACTTGAAAAATCTCGTAAAGCCCCGAAAAATGTTGAAAAGTCTCGAAAATTATAAGCACTAAGAATTTATTTTGTGACCAATCGCTAAAAATTAAAAACGCAAAATTTGCCGATTTTTTGATGCTCAAAATATAACAGGTAAACTTTGGCTTTTAATAAAATTTTTTTTTAGTTTTACAAAATCATAATCTACAATGAATGATTATTAGAATATAGCCCGTTTTTTCGAAAGAGAACACGATCCCAAAGAAAGTATTTCTAACATCCCAGGAACTGAGTCGCCTTCAAAAGGGACCGTCTATGAAACTTATTACATGAAATAAGTAAGATGTCCGAACGTTGTATGCCATTCCTATGAGCATACATATGCATATTCATACATACATATACTCATTTAATAAAATGTACAGCTATACATACGTTTTTCCAGGAAAGGGAAAATTCTGTAGAGAAAAAGAAAAAAGAATAAAATTATTGTTGGTACAGATGCATCTGCGAGTATGTATGTAACTAAATCAACAGCGGACTAGCACTTACATGCGTTGGTCGTGAGGCCAACTTAATTCCATTTTTGCTTTTGATTCAGACTAT